TACTCGTGAAAAACGCACAAATACTTAGTCATTATAATTATATAAGAGATACGATATACAGTCATTAACTAAATTTTAAAAGCAATCTTAAAGTTAAAAAAAAACAGAGTAACAAGTAATTTCTGAGAGACTGACTCAATTTTACTCACAAATTTATACATGACGATGTTCTGTCTTCATTTCAACCGAAAAAGACCAGTGGTGAATATTTTGTATGATCTTATTTGCTTTTGATTATTGTTTTGATACGGCAGGGCGTACTGAGAATCAGGCTGTCACAATAATCAACTGTTTCGCAACAACCTACTTTTACGATAATTTCACGTTCAGAACAGCCTACATCCCGTATAACCACAATTTGGGTGCTTCGTGTAGAGGTGAAAGCGAGGATTTTTTTTTCCCATATTCTCAGCTTAATTAACTGAAAAAATACTAACACAATGCCTACTAATTTAGCAATAAGAGTTTTTGATCATAAATTATGTGTCAATAATGGTCGGTGATGCAATCTCATATGGTACAAAATAATACAAAAAGAAAAAACGAAAAGCTAAGTGGTCTTAAACTTTTGCTAATGAATGTATATAATAATGTTGTTATTCAGGGTGCGCCAGAAATACCTTCCACATTCTAGTAGAGATTTACTTGACCCCCCCCCCCTCCACTGAGTCAGGTTGTGACACAAGGTCAGTTTTTTAACGTGGGGACCCGAGTGTTTTCATTCGGGCCGCTGGTCTAAGCTGCTCATAGCTTGTCCAAGCTGGTCAGAGCTGGTCTAAGCTAGTCATGTCTGGTCCAAGCTGGTCAGAACCGGTCCGAGCTAGTCGTAGCCGTGATACCACCAGCACAGGGACGGAGCCCTGGGCCGGGTAAGTATCTTCCACATACTAGTAAAACATTAGCTCGGTGAAGACCACATTGCCATTAACGTCTTAAAGTTATGTGGAAGATGTTTCTGAGCAGTATATAGAGAAATTATTTATCCCTCAACTTGTATAATATATTATAATATATTTAAGTAGTCATCTACATACAATCCTGTTTCGCTGTATCACAGCTCATCAGTGTGGCTAGACAGCCGATTGCTTCAAGCCGGGATCGAAACTCGACCGATTTGGCATCAGTCAGAGATTCTACCCCTAAGTTATCGGCACACGGGAAAGGGAAATTTTAACGTATTATATACGTGATGTATACATAGTATCTATATTTTAAAATATATATACTATATTTAAGTATTACATTACAATTATAATAATAAATCTATAATTATGTAATATATATTATTTCATGATATAACTACAGTAGATACAATATATAGATACGATAATGCGATTGTACTCTGATAGCACATTGACACGATTATGTGAATAACGCATAGGAAGGGCAGATATTCGTTTGAACTTTACGTGTTAACAACGTATAAATCACCTGACCTTACCTACATTTTATCAACTCATTTAACTGCTCTGACTCGTGACTGATAAAAATTAGCTGTAAAATAAACGACTTTGTAGTATCACTTCTTTTTACTGTTTACGGATTTACGCTTGAACTTAAGATTCATTTTGAATATGATTGTCTTTACTTTTATAATCTACCTTTTCTGTTTTAAATATGGAAATACAATTCCCAAAATTGTTAACAGAGCACTGAGCATAACAGTAAATAACGTTAGATAATTCTACAGGCGAGAAGTGAAATTAATGAATTCATATAGTATTGATTGATTCATTTTTTACGGCTTATCAACTCTTTTCAGGTTATTTAAAGCTATACATTTACTGCGAGGTTGTCTATTCCACAGTTACAGCTGATTAAAGACGAAACGGTGCCCATCCTGGGTATGACGATAAACTACATCCGCATCATGGGTAAGACGATAAACTGCACCCGCGTCCTGGGTAAGACGATAAACTACATCCAACAGCAAGGCCGCTGATCAGGAGATTTTGAGGAGCGTGGAACCACCTTTTAATTGCTGGTGTTCCCAGGTCCACCCTGACCCGGGGTGGTAGCATCTGTTAGAGTCTTAGCTATGGGCAAATAGGTAACCTCCAAACTGGGGCCAAAACACTATGAAAGTGTAAAAATAAGCTTTAATTTCAGAAATACTTTGTACAAAAATATTACCAGCAATACATTTTTGAAAAAAATGTTACCAGAAATGTATTTTTGGAGAAAAAAAATTACCAGCGATATATTTTTGAAGAAAAAATGTTACCAGAAATGTATTTTTGAAAAAACAATTATTACCAGCAATAAAAATTGTCGGCATTAAATAACCCATTGAGGTTGATATGCCGTAAACCAAACCAAACCAAACGTTACTCAACTACTTCGATGACAAATGTTCTGATCATATATATTCCTTTATTCCACAGGTTTAAACCTTTACAGCTAAGACGCACCATGCCATGTACGCTGAGACGAACTCTCCATATTTCCTTCGTATTCCATTAATAAGGAGGAAGTTCCACTCGGACAAATTCTTCAGAAGAATCACTAGCTTGCGGAACAGACTCATAAGGGTATGCTTTGCCGACTTTTACCGACTACATTTTTAACCACTTCAAGCCTAGGGTTAACCGTTATTTTTCCCACATATTAAATTATATTGACCTTCTAACTGGGGTTCCTTTTGGGCCTTTTATTGGGTGAATATTTGTTAAAAAAAGATCAGTTTGTGATTTACATTGGTCATCATCAATTTCTTCTTCTTCTTCTTCTTCTTCTTCTTCTTCTTCTTCTTCTTGCCTTGTCCCTTCAAGTCGTTGGCGATGATGACTCTTCAAAATGTCCTGTCTGTTAATATTTTTTCCTTCGTCTATCTTAATTTAATATGTCCTGTGAGTATCAAATACTCTAAAACCTCGTCTTTGTTCACAGATTCAGTCCATGGCATTCTCAGCATCTTTTTGTAAAACCCCATTACGATTGCTAAAAGTCTCTTCTTCATTTATGACAAGATTTTCCAACATTAACTACCATTTAGAAGAAATTATATTATGTAACAGTTCAGTACTGTTTTCTTTGAATCTAACAAAAAATTACCGTTTCTTAATACTTTGCTTAGCTTTTGAAAGGCAATTTTCGCTACGTCTTCGGATTTCAGTGCCTTCTTGCAATTGTTTAGTCCTTTTTTTTTTCGCTTTCTTTCACTACCTTATCTAGGAGTTCCCGGGGGTTCTTTTCTGTGTCTGCTATCAATACTGTGTCATGTGCATATCTTATATTGTTAGGATAGTGACCACAAATAACAAATCCTGATAGGACTTCTAATGGTAATGGTAATATTAGTCGTTTCCTTATAAAGAAACATTCAACATTCATTGACCGAAGAGTCGATGCTACTCAAGTTATACTTTTCTTCAACCATTGGGCTGGGATCAAAGTGTAGTATCTGTTCTCATGATAATATTAGCCGTATTCTTATAGGGAAAAATCGACATTCCTTTACTGAGCAGCTAGTACTATTGTCAGTTGAAATTTATAAAATCTTTTTTTATTAAAACACTTTTTTCAGGAAAATAAATTTCTCAAGTCCACTAATGCGCTTCCCAGGATTTTCTTCATAACCTTTTTGTCTGAAGTAGTGTGAAACATCAACATCTTCATTGTGTCATTATTTACTCTCCGAGTTACATGTGCTATCCATTTTAGTTGTTGCCGCTGTTGGTAATCCTCAAGTGGTGTGGTTTCTGTTATTTGGTATAGTTCTTTACGATTCTTTAACGTCAGTCCACCAGGTTTGAGGAAGAATGATCCTTGCTAAGACACTCATGCTTCATCCGCTCGAAGCTGTTCCTAACCTGTTTTGAGAAAGTAGTTGTATACAGCTGACAATTTAGATATTTCTGAACTGATTTGGTGCCATATATGACATCTATATAGAAGTCTCGATCTGATGAGACTAAGAAGATCTGTCGATTTTTAAGTATCTGGGAAATGTTCTGACGGAGAACGGTAGGTGCGACGCTGAGATCCGAAGACGAACTGGGATGGCCAAGGATGCAGCCCAGAAGCTGGGCAGAGTACTGCGGAACCGGAGGATTTCTATGGGGATAAAGAAAAAATTACTGAGCTGCTACAGGACATCTGTCCTCCTATACGGCAGCAAATGATGAAAAGTATCCTCAAGAGACTCGAGACGACGGAGATGTGGTTCTACACAAGGATGCTGAAGATATCATGGACCGAGCATGTGAACAACGATGAGGTCCTGGAGAGGATTCAAACAAGGAGGAAGCTTATACTTAACATAAGGAAGAGGCAGATGAAATTTCTGGGACACGTGATGAGAAAGGAGGGCCTGGAGAATCTGATACTCACAGGACGAATAGAGGAGAAAAGAGACAGGGAAAGCAGAGCATGATATACGTGGCGGGTTTGGGCAAGTGGATGTTGGGGCGTGGTCTGTGGGAGTTGGCAGAAAAACCTGTTGAGAGCCACAAGGGATAGAGGGAGGCGGAGGGCCATGATCGCCTACGTCCTGAAGGATACGGCACATAAAAAGAAAAGAAAATTATGAATATGGTTCAGATAATGGTGAGTACCTGTTCAGTGCTAAAAAAGGCAAAAGACGAGACATCCCTGGACAGGAACAAGGGAATGAGAACAACCTACACCAGTTTGTAGTTATCAAGGAAGCATGTAAACTATAAGAAAAAACAGCTGAAATGTCAAACTGACCTACAGTCCTAATCACTCTGATAGAATCTTGAAAGTACTGATATCAGTTACCGCCTATTCATCTTTATAAGATCTACAGAACAACTTACACTTTTGTGATAAGACCATTGGAGATGTGTTTGATAATATGAGAGGAATATCAACCTTATAAGCATAGTTTGCCATATGCTATTGTAGATATATATAAAGGTTTTTGTAAGAGATAGATAGATAGATAGATAGATAGATAGATAAAAACAAAGATAGACAATAGAAATAAAATTAGACAGATAAGAAAAAACAAAGATAGACGATAGAAAGAAAATTAGCTAGATAGATAGATAGATAAGAAAAACATAGATAGATAGATAGATAGAGAGATAGATAGATAGATCTTTTTTTAAATCATTTGATCCCAAGCAAGTTCGGAATGCCACTAGGGGGCTACAGAGAGTGAAAAGAGTGGATATAGGAGAAATGAAGAAAGGATAAAAGATAAACGGGATTTAAGAAGACGGAAAATGGAAATTGTTGTTGCATTTGAATTTTTGATTATTGTAGTTTTCAGGGAAGCAAGTAAACGAAATGAAGTTCCACTGGCGGGAAGTACGAGAAAAGAATCTTTTGGCGTAGAAATGGCGGTTGCATTTAAGTATTTCAACAGTAAACGGGTGGGACCTAGATGCCAAACTAGTAGCACGCTTAAATTCGTGTAATTGGAGCACCAAAGAAAAAAGCTCGTCAGAGTAGTTGCCATGAAAATATTTATAGAAAAGACAGAGGGAAGCCACGCAATGTCGGTGAGAAAGTGACTCAATTCGAGGTACCAGGTCAGGGCCGATTACATTACAAATCCTTCTTTGGGTATTGTCCAGACCTCCGAGATGAATAGCAGGAGCAGCAGACCAAATATTGCAGCAATATTCAATGCACGGACGAATGGTAGATTTTTAAATATGCAGCTATTGATTCCATGCAGTCGTTCCACCTAAAGTCAGTTGAAAACGTGAGGCCAAGAAGGCGCAATGTGTTGCTCTTCATGAGAGTAGCGTTCTGTGTGGTGGTTAAGTGAAAGTAGTTAATATGTGTGTATGTATGTGTGTGTGTGTGTGTGTGTGTGTGTGGATATTGAAGTCAACACCATGCGGCGACTGCCTGCTTCCTGCTTAAACATAATTAGGCCTGAAGATTGCGTTTAAGCATGAAACAGACTGTCGCCTATGCGTAATGACCTCAATATCCACTTTCATATTTATATACGCTCTATCCCTGCTATTAAGCACGTTAACCCATAAATATAGCATACATTAAAACTATATCTGTGTCATATATATATATATATATATATATATATATATATGTATGTATATTGTGTATATAACATTACTGGGACAAACAGGTCAGCAGCTATCCCGTATCAGGCAAAGGAGACCTGATGATGACCAAATTGTACTTGATCGAAATGCGGTGTCTATAATAACATCTATATCAGACAAGATGAGATCAATACTTCAAAATAATATAAAAATATTGACAATTACTCTTCTCATAAATAAATTTATATACCAAAGTATTTATTAGATTTCATATATATATATATATATATATATATATATATATATATATATATATATATATATATATATATATATATATTATCGAATATAAATATGTTTTGTTTTGTCACTACAAAAATAGCTATTTTGTTTCAACACTTCTGGTGTCTTATAAGACCTCAGAATTGTTGAAACAAAATAGCTATTTTTGTAGTGATTTTACAACATATTTATATTATAATTTTCGAATAAATAATTTTATTTGTTCTACTCTGTATTGAGCACCTTTTTTAAGAATTGTATTTGTTGGTTATTGGAATTTATTCAAAATCCTGTACTTGGATATATATATATATATATATATATATATATATATATATATATGTATATATATATATATTTATTTATCGAAAATTATAATATAAATATGTTTTAATTTAGCTATTTTGTTTTTCTGGTGTCTTATAAGACCTCAGAATTGTTGGAAACAAAATAATTTTTGGTGATTTTACAACATATTATATTATAATTTTCGAATAAATAATTTTATTTGTTCTACTTGTATTGAGCACTCTTTTAAGAATTGTATTTGTTGGTTATTGAATTTATTCCGTATATATATATATCCTGTATTTGGATATATATATATATATATATATATATATATATATATATATATATATATATACTATCTTGCTCCATGATCGCTTGCGTTCCATATTGTTGTAAAGTATCCACTTTTAATCTCTCGTAAAAATCTGCTTCAGAGACAGAATGTTTTTCAGCACCTGTTTTGTAGATTTTCAATAGTTTATAATGTTGCTTATTTACAAGTAATATCTTGATTTGATTACTGTTAAACTTGATTTTTATACCTTATCAATATTGATTGTTCAGAGAGAAATGTCCAACACAAAACATTACAAAATACTTTTTGACATTATTTACACTATTTACATCGTTTGGGCTATTGTTCTCATCTTTGTTGCCATATTCACGACGTTTCAGTTATTGTACGCTCCGGCCTTCTTCAGACGATTGTAATTTTCGAATCGAACCCTTTATTTCGTCCACTGGATTAGATTGTTCGTATTCTATGTGCCATGTCTCTTCCTGATATCTTAGTATCAGTTATTTCTCTTTAACTCAGCCCTCTAAGTTTTTATTAACCTCTGCTCTGGCTAGGTATTGATCTCACAGCTGTTTGGGTCAAGTCACTGAAATACTTCAACCAACGCTTTTATCCACGGGGGCCATGTGGACCGGCCGAAACATCGTGAATATAGCAGACGAGGACAACAGTCCGATCAATGTAAATAGTGTAAATGATTACAATACTTCAACTCAGAAATTGTTGTGGCCTTGTTAAGGCCAGAAATAAAGACACAAAGAGAGGAATTAAACAAATATATTAACAGAAACATATTAACACCACATAAGAGAGGAGTTAAACAAATATATTAACAGAAACATTTAATACAAACATATACAAACGAGAGTGTTACAGCTAGAATGTTCGGTCCGACTGTCAGAGATGACTGCCTGTAACTTCCCTCTCTAAAAAGGCAGTACCTGCTCCTATTTATAGCTAGGAGTGTCCATGCGTGCAAGGGTAAATTATCATAACAGAAATATAGACATGTTCAAACAATCACAGTGCCTACTTCCTAAACTATATTTTTTTCTTTTTGCACTTGATTTTAATTGTTCACTTTATTCAAATTGTAACAACGTAATATTTACCCATGTTCGTATGTTAAATGTTTAAATCAATACAGAAAAATGCGTCAGTTTTAACAAAGAAAATACACGCTGACATGACAGTCAAAGGTGATTTTTTTTAATGAAGTTAGTGAGATCTAAACGCCCCTATAACATATATCAAAATGAGTTTTGGGGCCCAACTGACAGGTGTGTTTTCGAGTCCAAGCAAAAGGCCATATCTTGGAATATTGATTTCCAGTGATTTGGTGTAACATATTCAATTGATGAATTTATGCAACATATTTTTTTCTTTATTTGAAAACACCTCAAATAGTCTTTTACTGTAAGGTGTACTTAGTAAATATTGTGAGTTATTTAGGCTAGGGATATGATTGCATGCTGGTACAACAGAAAACGATAAATTTTGGCGAGAAACCATCATTCGATCAATAAAAAAAAAGATGCAGTAGTGGAGTGATTAGCAGGTCAGGAAACGTGCACTGCTTGATTGTGCGTTCATAGCTCTCTTATGGCAGTAGGAATATCAACTGCAAATGATTCTGGGGTCACCGGGTACAAAAACTGCACTGGATGAGTACAAATGCATATAGACAGATAGATTACTGACCCAGCTACAAGTGATAGATAGATTACTAGCACAGCTACAAGTGATAGATAGATAGATAGATAGATAGATAGATAGATAGATAGATAGATAGATAGATAGATACTGACCCATTTGCTAATGATAGATACATAGGAAAGAGAGAGAGAAAGTCAGAGAGATTAATGACCCAGCTATAATAGATAGATAGATATAAATTGAGATAGATAGATAGATAGATAGATAGATAGATAGATAGATAGATAGATCGATCGGGAGAGAGAGAGAGTCAGAGAGATTAATGACCAAGCTACAAATGATAGATAGATAGATAGATAGATAGATAGATAGATAGATAGATAGATAGATAGATCGGGAGAGAGAGAGAGAGAGAGTCAGAGAGATTAATGACCAAGCTACAAATGATAGATAGATAGATAGATAGATAGATAGATAGATAGATAGATAGATACTGACCCAGTTGCTAATGATAGATACATAGAGCGGGAGAAAGAGAGAGAAAGTCAGAGAGATTAATGACCCAGCTACAATAGATAGATAGATATAAATTGAGATAGATAGATAGATAGATAGATAGATAGATAGATAGATAGATTCCTGTCGGTCTGCCTTCTTTCATAACAGCATCTAAGTGTAAATCAACAGTAAAGGAGGCGTTCTCATTTTTACTTTTGTCGACGCCCGCAGTTTCTTTATTGACTTTTTTTCCTCATAAAATTCTTCCTTAATCCGAGTCTTTGTCTTTTATTTATATCGTTCACCTCCTCAACTCTTGACTCTTGCGTTAATGAAGGAATAGACAAAAAGGAAAAAATAATAAGAGCAAGAGAAAGAAGAAAATACAAAGAGACATTTCAGGTATCGAAGAACTCAATTGGCGTGTGACTCACCTCCGTGGAAGTCACGTGGAGGATGCTATTTACCGCGAGAAGACTTGAGATGTTAGCGTTCTTGTACTGCTGCTGCTGCTGCTGTTGCTGCTATGTCGTTACTTAGAAATCTTACGAGCTGAGATTGTCCGCGAAGTGATATGACATTGTTCGAATCTTGTAAAAGGTTACATTTTTCTACTCCTCCCTATTTTCCTTCTCATTTTCTTTCTTTCTTTTACCTCTCCCCAACAGCTAAGTCTTCTTTTTCCTTTCCGTCTTCGATTTTTTTTTCTTTCCTCTTCTTTCCTCTTCCTTCCTTTCATTCTTTTCTTATCGTTATCCTTATCTCTTCTTCCTCTCGGTTAGTTTAGTATGGCACAAGGCCATAGAAGAGAGACGTGAGAAAAGAGGATGATGTTTGTTTTCTATTTTTTTTCAAATAAGGTTCACTCTGTATAAGGTCCGGGAGAGCCACTCGAGGTAGAGGATTACCTTAATGGGTAGTTAATATGGATAGGAGGAACATATAGTAATCGGGGAAACATCCTTTTGGGAGTTTATGCCACAGGGCAGTGGTTCGCAGGAAGATGATGTTTGAGTGAAATTTTTCAAGCGGGAAGGCCCTGCCTACTTTGATAAGTAAAAAAGAAAAGGCACTTTCTCCTTTTGACGTCTTCATTATTTTCTTCGTTTCTTTACAATAATTACGAAACTTAACTTTGGCACACGACGAATTCGAGCATGCTGCGCCAATTAAGTAAGTAGGTAGCGTGCCTGCATCGAATATTCAGTATTCGAAATCCTATTTTTACCTGGATTTAATTTCTGGTCAATACGTAACTATTTCAGCCAGAAGGCCCACTGCAATTAACAGGGAGTTAGTTTCATTTGGAATCAGACAAATGAAAATGGGCGCTAATCTAGAATCGAACTCATTACGCTTGTAGATATCTAGGGAGACTAGCTTGTTAAATTACTCCAGACCGACATATTCTCTATCTCCCACCATCCATCTATCTATCTATCTATCTATCTATCTATCTATCTATCTATCTATCTATCTATCTATCTATTCATTATCTATCTTGAGTCTATTCATATCTATCTATCTCTATCTCTATATATCTATTTATCTATTTTCGGTCTGTTCATTATCTATCTTGAGTTTATTCATATCTATCTATCTATCTATCTATCTATCTCTATCTATCTGTCTATATATCTATTTTCGGTCTATTCGTTATCTATCTATCTATCTATCTATCTATTATCTATCCATCTTGAGTCTATTCATATCTATCTCTCTATTTCTATCATCTGTCTATCTATTTTCGGTCTGTTCATTATCTATCTTGAGTCTATTCATCATCTATCTATCTATCTATCTATTTTCGGTCTATTCATTATCTATGTATTCATATCTATCTATGTATCTATGTAATTAAATTTATATCTAAATTTGTTCATATCTATTTCCGTTTCTTTTTCTCTTTCTTTCCTCCTCTCTTGATATAGACAGTCCTACCACTTCCCCGAATCTCCAGTACCTCCTATCCCGACTCTAGCTTCTCTGGGATGATTAACAGTGTTACATTTATTATTATTGTTATTGTCGTTCTTATAATTATTATAATTATTATTATTATTGATTGGTTGGTTGTTTTCTTTAGCGGCATATCAACCCCTATGAATCATTTAATGCCGAAATCTTAATATTTTGTACGCAATTTCTTTTCTTTTTTTGATAATAATGATTTTGGTGATACAAGTCTTACTAATTAACCCATAGCTGTGGGGGAGAAGTGATGGATTCATATTTTTCCAAAGGGTATTTACGCGTAATTGAATATAACGAACCCAACAGTAAATTTAACTCGGCTCTCCGATTAACCACCACTCGCAAGCTTAGAGTACCTGGTATTCCCAAACGGTCACCCATTTAGGAACTGACCAGGCTATAAGTTGCTTAACTTCGGTGATCGTACAGGGACTGGTGCTTCAGCGTGATGTGATCGTAATTCCTATTATTATCGAGTTATAAACGAAATCTAGTATATCCACCATGATACCCAGTTTGATAAAGGTATAGCAGGCACACGCATCACAGCCAAATATGCGCGATATGGTGACGGGTTTTGATAAAAGTGCGTTTCATTTGGAGCCCAGTTAGAAATACCATCAGATCACGTAACTCAGTCCGCTCAGAAGGTTTCTAGTATCAAAATGTAAATCTCAAGTTGCTCTGGTTGTCAAATCCTTCAATTAAAAAAGAAAAAATAGAACACTCTCAACACCCAGCCATAATGCTTCGCCACAATTCCTAATCATAAACAGAGATTCACAGTGCGCCAGTCCCAAGAGGACACTCCCAAATGGTTATGGTTGAGCAAGTGAAAATCAAATTTGTTACTTCTGGACGGGATATTTACAGGAACCTGTTCTAATTCACCAAGACAAAACATGTACAAGTCAACATCTCCAATCAGTTAAAGTCAGAAGCCATTAGATTCACGCCTGATGTAGCGTCAGGGCATTTATTGACATAAGTCGGCACAAGGACTTCAGACGGACCAACACTTTATTGAAGATAGACGCAGATGATTTCAAATTGGTATGGTTCGCCAAGCTGGCCAAACAAGTCGCACAGTTTTAATGACATTTGATCCCAATGCGCCAATCGCAACTGGAATCATCTTGACATTCCTTTCTTGAATTCCAATCTTGCCATCTGAACTTTCTAATCAGAATACTTTGTAATTTTCTTAATCACATTGTTTGCTATATTTCTGTCATTTGGTACGGCAACATCAATAATATGACAGTGATTAATGACTTTATCTAGTATATTATCATCACTTTTATTATTATTATTATTATTATTATTATTTGAGAGATCAGGATACTATCAGAAGGAAACTTGAGTATAAATATACGAAACCCACTATAACCATTATGAAACTCAATTCATCAAAGCCAAATGAGCGCGATATGATTAAAAACCGTGAGAGTCAAACCCTGTTATGCATCATGGCTATTATTATTATTATTATTATTATTATTATTATTTCCTTTGGTTTCTGGTGTATATTCTTTCCCGCCCAGAGACCTAAGGTCAGAAATGGCATCATGATATTTTCCAGAACAATTAAAAAAAACACATATTTTACATAGATGAAGCCCTTCGTAAGATGTGGGCTGTACTCGCGAGAACAATTTTTTTTTGTATTTCTTTAAGGTATGGACTACCAGGAATCCCTTTAATGAGTCTATTAGAATCTTTTCCAATCAATCCGAGGGTTCCAACTACGACAGGGATTGTTGATGTTCTCATGAGTCCCAAGTTTTGAGATTTCGATTTCAAGGTCGTTGTATTTTGATAGTTTTTTGAAGATCTTCAAAGATACATTGCAGCTTGCAGGGACAGCCATATTATTATTATTATTATTATTATTATTATTATTATTATTATTACGTTCGTGTGTTCACATACAAAGCCTGGTAGTAGTCGTTGAAGATGACTGACAGTAAGTTTTCTTCAAATTTCCATCATCCTGTTCAGTATCCACGCTGACCCCCAGCAGCACCTCGACCTGTGAGATCTCAGCCCTCCCTCGAGTGTCTAACAAAATGTAATCTCAATTTTATTGTATCTGGCACGGTTCCAAGTGCATCTACTATATCTTTCTGTGTACTCCAGCAATGTCCTGGTAATTTTCCAATTTCTCACTCTCCTTCACATTCAGTCCAGGATTTGGCAGCTTATTTGCCCACTACAATTCTAATTCACGACAATTACATCCAGATGTTTTTATTTAAAAAACTGGTTGATCGAGATACCAACCTTTTTTTTTTTCAGAACAGCATATTGTTTGCGCTGAAATAAGTTCTCTATGTGGGTGAATCCAAGTAGCTTATATGATTCATAGTTCACCATCATCATCATCATCACCATCATCATCATCATTTTTATTATTATTATTATTATTATTATTATTATCAACCCCGTGACCGAGTGTGGACGTAGGGTTGCTGTGGCGCTGAACACCTTCGTTGTGTGTCAATGCCTAAGCCTCTGTAAATAATCTTCCAATCTAGTCAGTTGCCAGTCCATTTTGTCTTCCATCTTCTTTTACCAAAGGTTGCAACTTGTATGGTGGCAGTAGAAAGAACATTTACTGTATATCTCAGTCTATTTTTTTGTATTCTTTCTCGTTAGATTCCGGTGGCTTTCACTGGTAATCAGATAGCATCACTTCTCCTCAATACTCTTAAACTCTCTTTAGCATTCTAGTTTATTTTAGTAAAGCTGTTGCTCAGATAAATTCGATTTTTATTCGATCGCCTAGCTTTTCTACGTCTTTGCAAGATGTTCACACAAGTTGGAACAGGTGGGTTACGATGGAAATCAAATAACTGCAACTCATCTAAAAGCTTCAGCATTCTTCTTTGTATTCTACCTGTTTTCAATAATACTATCTTGATACTTTTTTGGGTTTACTGTTTTGCAAAACTTTTTTTATTTATTAAGCTATCTTCGGTAGTTCTAAGCACTCGAACAACGACGGGCATAAATATCACTTTCACGTTAAAAATTTCTTTTCATTCCTTTTGTAAAATCCAGATTTTCACTTGCTTTTACTTTCATTTCACTTGCTTTCAAATCACTTTCACTTTCAACTAGAACAACGAAATCGATTACCAAGTTTTCTTCACTTCGTTTACTATAACTCGATCTAGTCTTCTGGTGTCCATTTAAATCTCAAAGCATCAGAGAATTTGATTATTTATTTCTCTGTTCACTGCTTCCGATGACGTCCAGGTGGATGATTGAAAGTAGTAAATCTCAAACCTTTAGACACAATTTACTCTCATTGAATCCAAACAGACGTTTTCTTGTATGGAAACAAGTAAAGGTAAAACATTCTTCTTCTAGGGTCTTTAATCATTCTTGTAATAATAAAGGACAGCTGCATATATATATATATATATATATATATATATATGAATGAATGATATAACGATATATAATTTTGTATAATTTTATATATCAACAAACAGTATTTAGAAAAATATAACAAACTAGAAAGGTTTTTTTGTGACGCGTTTCAGCCGATGAAATCCTAAAGAATGTAACGCGTCACAAAATAACTTTCCAGTTTGTCATAGCCACACTGATGAGCTGTGATACAGTGAAACAGTCGGTCTGTGGATGACAATATATATGCTCCTGAAAAATTTATTTCGGTTGAGTTCTTTGGGGAGGAAGTGTGAGTTTGTAAACAGTCACTATTACGGTTAATAATGCAAGACTCTTCGGTAAAGCGAATCGAGTTCTCTCAGTCACTGTGTGTTTATCTAAAAATAAATACGTTTAAATTCACCTTCATCCCTACCGTGCACCGACACCTTAGGTGTAAAATCTCCGACAATTCAGCCGGGTTTCGATCCTAGCTAGAGGCAACCGGATGTCTAGCCACACTGATGAGCTGTGATACAACGAAACAGTCTGTCTGTGGATGACAATATATATATATATATATATATATATATATATATATATATGTTTGTGTGTGTAATCCGACAGCATTTCTTATTAGTCTAAACGTTATTTTAGTAGATGCACATGTTTGAGTAGACGTCCTGTTTTTTGTTTCGTTTTTTTTTTCTCTCGAATGTGCAGGCTAGCAGATGCAATTCCCACAGGTTAAAAAAATTAAAAAAACAAAATAAAACAGGGCGTCTACACAAACATGTATTAAAATTATGCTGAGACTAATAAGTATATACGTATAGATATTTTTTTCATAATGACAATTGCCCAGCGTTTACGGTGTGTCGCTCAACATTCCACGCATGTCCTGAAAACACTGTAGCAAGAAATAAACAACTATTTCATAAACTTGATTACTAGCAAGTAACTCATACAAAATAACTGGCTACACGTTTCCTAGCACATTCATCTACTATAACGGCTAGACAGAACCTATTACGGATGCCTCCAGTTTCTACGAGATTAGCGCATCATTGGCGCGATCAACAGTTTGAACAAATATCAGTATAGCAATCGATTACCTCCAAACAGTTCCGGTAATCCAATCCCGAAATACCAAAGGATTACTCAGCCTGTAATCTGGTATTCACACACTTTCTAATCGTGCCGTAAGCTGGGATGTTTTCTCCAGACCGATAATCTCAAGAAGGCACCCTCTTGACAAATCGACTATCTTGAGATTCGAAGCCCGGGCGGAAAACAAACCTTCGAACCAATCAACCACCCAACCATATGTATATATACATGAATATATGCGTATGTGCGTATTGTTTAAATTTATATATATTTCCCAGATATACTTAGAAAGTATTGTGCTGTTCGCGTATTTACTATTTATGAAAGAAGTTTTGTGTGCATAGTTTCTTTGTTTCCAGGGTTCGAAAAATCGAAAACCGAATAGAGTAAATAAAAATATACAAACTAAAAAATAAACAAATAAATAAGAAAAAATAAGTAAAAATTAATCCAAATAAATGAACAAATAAACAAATCGCTCCCGCTAAAATAACAGTTAGAACTAATAAAAATAAACATAAGCAAAACACATAAAAATAACCAATTCAAATAAATAAAATAATAAAATTAAACAAATTAAAAACTGTCCCCGGCCAAAATAGCAGAATAGACGACGGCAATCAATCCAAACAAATAAATAGCTTTAGCTTTCCACACCAAAACAAACTATTAAATAAGCGACCTAAACAAATGCCCCCCAAAATTTTTACTACGTTAATAAAAGATCGAAAACCGAAAAGAATAAATAAATATATAAAATAAAAAATGAAAATAAAAAATAATAAAAAGTAAAATAAATTAACCCTAATAAATAAACAAGCCACTCCCGCCAAAATAACCGCCAGAATGGATTACCCACAATTCACTATATATATATATATATATATATATATATATATATATATATAGTCGAGAAAAATCTAACACTCGCGGCCTGACGACTGCGTCTAACATGAAACAGCCTGTCGCCACTAAGTGTTGATTTCAATGTTCACTTTTATATTTATATTTACATACGCTCTATCTCTGATTTTGAGCACTTTTATCCCTTAAATATAGAATACTTTAAAACTATATTTCTGTATATATATATATATATATATATATATATATATATATATATATATATATATATATGTATTAGATACAGCGAGAGACTGTGTGGACATAGTAATCAAAATATCATGCCGAATGTCACTATGCAATGTTCATTGCTTTGTTCACACGGTCTATATTCATAAGTATTATAACTCCGATATTGAACACATTGCTTATAAATATACGATATTTTAAGCAATATATACAGGGTGCGATGGGTAATTTATCGCCATTTTATATTTTTCATTTCGCGCATGTGCGTTTGGTTTTTGATTTTCTCCACTGCACAGTATAGTTGGGTCAGTTGGGCACCGCCTGTGAGAAAAAGAGCACAATAACGCAATTCACTCAGCCAAAAATCTGGAAACGGCATGCTGTACTGCTTGGCATTCGCACCAGAAGATCCAATACGAATATTTCAGAGTGTTTACGTGTCAATCTGACGAGAGTGCGAAGGATTCGGAAAGAGTTGGATGAGTTTAATGGTGATTATGAAGGTACGACAGCCCGAAAAACTCACTCTGATTGTTCCGATTAAAAAAGAACTCCCAAATTTGTTGGTGAGGGCCTCAAACTCAACAAGGAGGCCTACATCAAGTGTCTTGGGGAAGTAGTGCTGCCTGGGTCAAGAGGGTGGCTGCTAGGATACCATATGTTTGGCAACAGAACGCTGCACCAGGCCACAAAGTAGGAGAACGCAGTCATAGCGACCACATCACCTCTTACATTATGCTACCTAAATTCCAAGGCTGAAACTCCCTTCATTATTATGTGTGGGGCGCAGTTGAGTGAGAGACCAACCAAACTTTGTGTAACACCAAAGATGAAGTAAAGGCGAGGATTATGCCAGCATTCACCAACTTAAACAAGGAAACTGCTCAAAAGAGATGTAGAAGATTCCGAAGTTATCTGGAGACAAGTTATCTTGAAGCCAATGGAGATTTTATTGAATAAATTTACACTTTAGTATTTTACTTTTATTTTTTGTGCAATTTTGGTAAATATATCTGTTCAAATGAGACGTCAGAGTTATTTCTATTTTTACGTAATTTAGACAATTTATTCATCGTCTTATGTGTAATTAAGTAACAAATAATATTCAAATAAGTGTAAGAAAACATTCTGGATGCTAAAGTGTGTAAAGCTTTGTGAGACGCTGCATGATGTTTTGAAAACTTTTGTTTGCTTACATATTTCATTAAAGTATATTTCGTGCTTATTTTGTGTATATATATATATATATATATATATATATATATATATATATATAATGATTTTTATGTATTCTGAAGACATAAGTCAGATTCATGAATAAAAAATGAGATTCCATGGGTAAACCGAATTTTTTTTTTGTAGAATGTTATTGAAAGAAAAGAAACAGTGGTTAGTAATTAATTTACATATCTTTATGATTTTGTGGATGAGTAGAGAAAGCTTATCCTTGAATATATTGAGGTGATTTCTTAGTGTATTAAGGCATTTCATGATGGGTATATTGGTGTATAGTGATTTGATGTCTAAACTAGCCATATGCATGTTAGTCAAATTCGTGTGTTGTACTCTTTGGAGCAAGCCACCCGAGTGTTTTTATGTGTGTTGTATTGACGGTGCCTAGGAATGGAGTTAGGATTTTAGTGATGTTTCTGTTAATTCCGGAGCAACGGCTATGTTGGATTTGTGTGTCTTGGGTAAGCCATAATGTAGGTATAGTAGGGTGATAATCTATTTATCTAGACCAAGATTTGTTTTCATTTATTGAGTTTCTTGATAGTTTTGTTGAACCTATGTGTTTCAGTGTTTATGCTAAGTTCATTGGTTTTAGTGTAGTTGTTGTCATTATTTCGGAAGGATTCTAATTTTTCAATGTAAATGTTGGTCTCCATTATAGCTATACCGCCTTCTTTGTCGGATGGGATCATAATAATGTTTTTTGTTCATGGACTAGTTTTTTAGTGCTTGCATCTATCACCTGGGTAGTTTAGTTTCGATTTGTGATGGACGCTGCTAATATACCACGTATGAAAACATTTTTTTTATAATCAGTGTGGTTGAAATTGTGATGCTTGATTAAGTTAGTGATTGTGTCATTTATTTTTAGACCGGTGGCGAATTTTAAACCCAAACTTATAGTTTCCGTTTCAGGGGTAGAAAAATTGTAAATGTGGAGATATTGTGGATAAGATTTGCATTACCAATCATCTTCCATTTGCTGTTTGTGAATCGGTTGTGGAGTTTGAATTAATCAATTTTGTTGTTGATGTTCGATATTGTTCGTCGCAACATTTCGGCTTCGAAATTTTAAAGGATTTTACAAACTAGCATTTTGCCTATTGATGATGTTTGGTCATTGGTGAGTATTTCTTTATATTTGAGATCTTCTGCGCATATCAAGAAGTAGTCGGGGATGTGTTTGGGGAATATATCATTTGTATTATATAATACTTTCAAAATACCCCTTGGAACTACTTTTTCCATGAAACAATTTAGTAAAAAATTATTTCTGCTACGTAGGGAGTAACGGGATAGTCAAAGTTTTTGTAAGTGGAAATATAATATTGTTTCTGTCTCTTTGATATGGTTTCATTGTTCAGACAAAATATAGATCGAGTGTGAATAGGAATCTGACAAAATAATAGGATAAAGAACAAGTAGGAAACGAATCTCAATCTAACATGTTTCACTTTACTTTCGTCAGAGATAAAGACTGAAATTATAAAAAAATGATAAAAATCAAAGAGACGCAGATTAATGGTATGTTGTGTTTGGTTATTTCTTATTGGTTAGATACGTGTCACGTGTATTGAAGTAACAGATAATATTCAAATATGTGTGGCATCTTATATATATATATATATATATATTGTCATCCACAGACAGACTTTCGCTCTATCACAGCTCATAAGTGTGGCTAGACATCCTATTGCCTCACACCTGGATCGAAACTCGATCCATTTGGCATCAGTCGGAGATTTTCCCCCTAGGCTATCGGCTCTCGGCAGGTAATTTTTACGTATTTATTTTGAATTAACACGTCATTGACTCAGAATGCTCGATTATATTTATATATATTATACATTGAGGAGTTCTCATATGGACTAAAAGTCCTCTTTTGAATAATCCTATTATATATATATATATATATATATATATATATATATATATATATATATATATATATATATATATATATATATGTGTGATAGAAATTATTAGGAGTATTTTGAGATAATTATAATTAAGTAATTCATCGAGTCTAGAAGAAACCTCAACAGAATGCACTGAACGGCCGTTTGGTTCTATATTTGGGACTCATCAGCAGTGCGCATCCACTACCGAGAATTGAAACCTGGACAGTTACGTGATCAGGCAAACGTCATACCAACTGTACCAACGGGCCTCGTTGACAAATAGGTAGCGAATTCGATATATAATCAAGCCGACTAACTTCCCAAAACCTGATATTTTGACGCGTAGGTAAATTCGTCTTGTAACTGCGGGTAACTGAAAACTTTCGAACAGCTCTTTAGATATGAATCGTAGACTCACTGGATATCTTCTATATGTAAGTTGGTTTCACAGTGTTGATTTACGAAAGAATTAATCACATGAAAAACATCTTTAGATGATGATAGAGTTAATCAAATACTAAGGGATTGGTAAACATGTTTGTCCATTTCTTTGTAATGGTCACTTTTGCTACAGTCATTAATAAACACTAAGGCCTGCCAACAACAGAATGTTGACAAGAAGGCGGAGAACGCATAATTTATCTGTTTTGTGTGTGTCTCTCTCTCTCTTTCTGTGTGTGTGTGTGTGTGTTTGTGTGTGTGTTTGTATGTATGTGCGTGTATGTGTGTGCGTGTCTGTGTCTGTGTAAGGGAATTTAATGCTCTTAGATGACACTGAAGGCGAAAGAATCAGGGGAATACCGCGAGTAATCTTGTCGTCTTTGAATGAATGGAAGGCAAAACAGTTAACATAAAGAGAAAAGAGCTATGATCACCAATACTTTTTAGCACGTTACACTCTGATAGATAGATAGATAGATAATGCATAGACTGAAAATAGATAATGAATAGACTTAAAATAGATAATTGATAGGCTCAAGATAGATAATGAATAATCTCTAGATAGATAAATAGATAATGAATGAACTCAAGATAGATAGATAGATAGATAGATAGATAGATAGATAGATAGATAATGAATAGACTCAAGATAGATAACTAATAGACCGAAAATAGATAGACAGATAGATAGAGATAGAGAGATAGATAGAGATAGAGAGATAGAGAGATATAAATAGACTCAAGACAGAAAGATAGATAACCAAGGCCGGAGTGACTAATGAAAATGTTTTAGAAAATGACCAGAAAATAATTGCTCGTAATTACATTTTTTTTATCATTTGAACAAGTCCGCTCAACTTAGTTGGCATAATCTGAACGTTAATGCTGTCTGTCTTCTTCAGCTGTTTTACGTTTAACTCTGTAACTTTTGTCAAATTAAGAGCCTGGCACTTTATTCAATCCATCGGATAGATTGACCTCATTCTATTGGTCAAATAAAGTTTTTGATTCGAAATTCAAATAACGTTACCGGGAACAATTTCAGACACCTGACGAAGGTCAATGGGTTCAAAACGCGAGATGTTGTGAACGATGGTGAATATATAAATATAATTACTCATCTCGAAAATTAGGAATGTTATCTTGCTTGCTTCAGATGATATTGCAAGTGTATTCCATTTTTTCAGAGGTGTCCCTATAATTGTGACATTTTACCACACTATGTTAGAATAATTGAATATCTTTTTTGGCTGTTTTTTTGTGTGTGTGTGTGTGTGTGTGTGTGTGTGTGTGTGTGTGTGTGTGTGTGTGTGTGTGTTTTCCTTCTGTGCGCTTGTTGCAAAGAAATTATTAGCAGGCTGACATACTAAAATCGTTATTCTCCTGAGTTTTCTCCTTCGTAAGTACCTCGCTACTGTGAATTTGTGCTGGGACTCAAAAGAATTTCTTCTTCTGTAATTTGTTCTGGACCTCAAAAGAATACCTCGCTACTGTGAATTTGTGCTGGGCCTCAAAAAGAATTTCTTCTTCGTAAGTGTACCTCGCTACTGTGAATTTGTGCTGGGCCTCAAAAGAATTTCTTCTTCGTAAGTACCTCGCTACTGTGAATTTAGCTGGGACTCAAAAGAATTTCTCTCTTCGTGAATTTGTGAATTTGTGCTGGGACTCAAAAGAATTTCTTCTTCGTACGTACCTCGCTACTGTGAATTTGTGCTGGGACTCAAAAGAATTTCTTCTTCGTAAGTACCTCGCTACTGTGAATTTGTGCTGGGACTCAAAAGAATTTCTTCTTCGTAAGTACTTCGCTACTGTGAATTTGTGTTGGGACTCAAAAGAAATGCATTTGGCTCCAAGGAAACGAATTTCGATGGAGATGCGACCAGAAATAATCACAATTTTCATTTTTTTTTTGTGTTTGTGTGTGTGTGTGTGTGTGTGTGTTTTCATATCTGTCGTCTAAGGTGCTGTAAGTGATAAATTTATGGGCGAATGATCTGAAATCAGAGAAATCAACGGTGCTGTCCCGTGTTCCAGACTTGGGCATGTCGAACCATCGTACTAAGCCAGAAGAGTCCATTATTTTCTGCTGCGGCTCGACGTAGGGGAAGTTTTTTTTTTTCTTCGAGGCGATATGCGAGGTGGATTTGTTTTTGACATTACCTGCAACCATTAATTCTATGCTAACAGTTTCTTTTATCGGACTTCTCACTTGCGGTACTCACCTTCCGGCTCCATGCTTTCCAGCCATCTTTAATCTGCAAAAATTTTAATGCAATCTCAATCGCTATCTGCTTCCCTCCTGATTATTCTTCCTTTGTTCTCAACTCCTTAACAATGTTCCTGTTTTGAACTCTTCCACACCCAGTAATCCCTTCCGTTTCGGTGGTTTTCCTGACTTGCTTGTGGGTGAACTCAAATTTAAAAAAAAAAGAAACTTCTGACCCAATGTGGTAGGACCTACAAGGCAGCAAGTGGTTTGAATTCAATTTTCTCTTTCTTGACAGTCTGTCCCGTTATTTACTCATAGCTGGTAGGAAAGAGATTCATATCTTTTCCAAGGTTATTAGCATGTAAGTAAATGCAATGAACTCGAATGGAATTCGAACTCGGCTCTCCGATTCCACAATCTTAGTTCTTATCTATTACTCCACCGTGCCTGCAGTTTTCATATTACTATAGATTAAACGCTCCGGGATCAGGAATGTTAGAAGAGAATTTACAAACCTTTATAATAGTTAATTATAATAGAGTTATTCCGACGTAGCTACCTCGAACAAACAATCGATGAAGCGGCGTCTGCGATTAACCCACTACTGTGCGTGAAAACGTAAAATCATATACAGAAATATTTTGCCTCAACCTTGGTACAACAAAATTTCTAAACGGTAAACAATAGTTGATTTCTAATTATCTGTCTGTGATTATTTTACCTGTTTGTTGTTTGTTTGTTTGTTTATAAACAAACATTGCATCTTTTCGCACTGATAAATTTTTAATTTGAAATTCCTATTTTGTCAATTTGAAATTCAATGTTTTTGATTAATAGTTGAGTTTTTTTTTAATTTCAGGGTAAAAAAAATATGTAGATGACAATTTAAAAAGAGGGGTTAGTAATTGATCAAACTTTTCACAGGACGAGAAATGTGACGTAGAACTGTGAACATCATTTTAAAGACAAATCTTTGTCTTACAAAGAACTCGAGTCCCTTGCTGAAAGACAATGGCAAGTAAACTGGTTTCATAAGCTATTAAAGTGAATACAAGCTTCACCATGTGCTTTGCAGGTTCCGACCTGCTTTAAACTAAGCTAACCGTGGTAAATATGCATATAGAAAGAAAGATACTTACCTGGCACAGGGCTCGTCCCTGGGCTGGTGGTATCACGGCTACGACTAGATTGGACCGGCTCCGGCCTGGACCAGCTAGGACGTGCCAAGACCAGCTATGACTAGCTTAGACCAGCTCTGACCAGCTAGGACAAGCTATGACCAGCTAAGACCAGCTTAGACCAGCGGCCCGAGTGAAAACACTCGGGTCACCACGTTAAAAACTGACCTTGTGTCACAACCTGACTCAGTGGGGAGGGGTCAAGTAAATATCTATACAATGTTAGACAGCTGGTATTGCAAGCCATTCCTAGTGAGTTCACTTGCTCTACGATTGTACCTTATGCCAGAATAGACTAAGTTCTTCTTACGGGCACGTGCCATATAGCAATATTTAACAGGTAATTATGGCAGACTGACCTGAATTTTTCCTGAGCGCTCCTCTACTATGATATTGTGCCTTACAAGAGAGTCTATTAAATATCTTACAGTTTTCCATGATATAGATTTTCTGTTTGTTCTATTAGTTGTCATAATAGTATTCATTCATCTGATGTTATAATTCTGCTTTTTGCAACGGTACTATTTTAGTCGAAAAAAGGATTTACATTTGTATATTTCACGAAGCAGTAAGATTTCAAAATCCACGAGCGCCGCGACTTAATAAGAGTTCATATTACGAGGCAACATTTTGAGAAGACAAACTATTGAAATGATGAATTCACGTTACTCGAGGTAACAAACACTCGAAGACTTGAGTTACTAAAGGGAATTAAATGAAGCTGAGGTATCCAGAAAAGGTATGACACATGGAATCAGAACAATCTACCCCCGTCGACTAAATAAAGTGTTCGGTTCGAAATATCAGCGTATATCAGCTGAAGAAGGCCAGAATGTACAACGGCAGAAACGTTGTGGATATGGCAATAAAAAGAGGATAACAGTCCGAACGATGTAAATAATGTAAATACAATACAATACCTCATCTCGGAAATATAGACATATGTTAATTTTTACCCAATGCAAGGCCCAAGAGACACTCAAGGGTAGAGGATTACTGAACGAGATGTGTGATATGAATGTAAGAAGAGGTGGCAGGAAGTAATGATTAGGAGGATAAGCGTCATGGATAAAGATTAACTTCTGACTTGAAGAGGTTAAGTTTGTAATCTTTAGGAAAACATTCACTTGGGTGTCTGCTCTAGAAAGTAGTAGTTCTTGAGGAAAAAAATCTGTCTGAATGAAAATTTCGCTTTGCATTTGGAATACGAAGGAAATGAAGAAGATTCGGTTCAGTGGAAGTAGAATAGCGTGTCCTAGCTGTAAAGATGTGTACTAATGTAACTAAATCATGAAGCTCTTCTGAATATTGGTGATGGGCTTGCTTACGTTGAAACAGTGGGAAAGAGGCAGCAGATGGGAGAATGAGACATGCACCAGAAGGACCATACAAACGATTTTGAACCAGACTCAAGGTCGAAAAGTGCAGCGCCATCCAAGATACGACAGCAATATTCCAGTTTTAAAACACAAGATTGGCTGAAGGTCGTTGTGCGGTAAGAACACATTTGCACTCAAGTGATATCTGACCTTCGGCATAGATTGAACACATAGCATCCAATGGCGTTCAAAATCTCCCTCCGCGTCACGTAACAGTTCAAATGAGACCGACCGGAAGAACTTAAGTTCTGAAGTAAAAAGATGTCATTAGTTGATGTATTATTCCGACGAAGCACCGTAGCCATCTTTTCTTTTCTTTTCTTTCTTTTGGTGGTTATGTTTCACATCTTTTCCAGGTCGCATCCAATAATCTTATTTTTCCCTTAATCTCTACCACTGCAACAGTTAAGCGACAACGATTCATCTGGCTCTGTAAATTACTAAATGCAAAAAAATATAAATGAATTTAAGTAAACAAAGAACACTTGAAGAATTATTCCAAAAGTAGGAATCGAGCCTAAAACAGAGATTGGTTTGGAATCTGCCAGAAAAAAAACACAGTTTGTTGACTAAGCAGTCGATAAATTAACAAGTTTGATTATTTTGTTTTTTTACAATGGTGTTCACCCTGTACAATTTTTTCAAGGATAATCCTCACTGGGGAGAAACTTAAAAAGAAATTATATATTAACATGATAAAAAGAAAATTGTTACACATCAGTTATAGTTGCGGGAATGACTAAAGGAATGAGTTTCTACACATTTTTTTAAAAATGATATTCACCTTGTGCAAGGCCCTAGAGCCACTCGAGATAGAGGGTTACAGAGCAAGAGGTACAGCTTATGCCTAAATGTGCGGAATATAACGGTTTACCATAGACTTGAACAAGTTAAGATTTTAGTGATCCGGGGAGCATCCCCTTGGGAGTTGGTTCTAGAAGGCAAGTTGTTCATGGGAAGAAGCTGCTCGAG